ATACTTCATTGTTTATCACAGGGTTCGTGCTACAATTTCACTACAAAATTGCAGGACTTTAATTTGAAGTACTTTTTAAGCACAAAAATACGTTTTTCAAGGACTATTTTCGAAGACATATTTTGATGATTGCAAACATTTTCAATGTCAATTTTCACAAAATACAATGTAGCTAGATTTCAATCCAAAAGCTAAAAAGCAACATGCTAATTTCCCAGGTTTAAGGAGTTTTCCAGCAGTTTTAGTGATTGTTCCCATTTTGAAGGGCTTTTCAAACGCCCTTGGAATACAAGGTTGCAATTCCAGGACTTTTCAAGCATTTCAAGGAGTAACACAAACCCTGTTATCAAAATAAGCAAAGTCTTCTTGATTACTGACCATGCTCACCTACCTCAAGGTTGTACAGGACTCTAAAGGGTGACATCCCGGCGGCAGTACATCGAAACATGTTCTTAAGGTTGGTTGTTGTGGGTACAACTCCACCAGAATCATCCATGGATGTACTGCCAGTTGTACAGGTCAGAGTAAACTACAATGTCAACCAGAAAATTTAGGTTATGGCATGACAGCATATAATACTCTACTCAATAATGTACCACTCATGAAAAAATCATTGTCACAGAGAAACAGAACATTTTGTACTGAATTTTACTAATAAACATCTCTAGAGGCAAACAAGACAGAGAAAGATTGCTGAGCATCTTATTTTGCACTTTTGGCAGATTTTCTACGCTGTTTTTGCCACTAAATGATTTAAATCCKTTAATTAGAYGGCACTGTCACCAATAGGTGCCAATGCKACATGTACAACAAGGCCAACAAGGAGATAAGAGTTTGCATTTACTGTACCTGCTGCCCAATGGAGTCCAARGCTTCTTGCACAACTGGRTCAGTWGGRAGTAACATCAGAAGTCGTTGTACATGGGACGTTATGCTAATAAAAACAATAATTAATCTACATTGTAAAAAGGAATAAACGTTATGAAAAGAAGTGAACGGACGAGGAARAAAGGAAAGTGTGGAGAAAGTGTGTATAAGTTTTATGATGGGCATCTTAAGGCCCGCTTACACTTGCGCTTTTTGAAGCTCGATTGTCTCGCGAYAATCGCCACTTYGTAGTCACGCACCTGAAATCRTACGTCTAAACAGCCCTGCGATTGTCGCGGCGATCGAAAATCGCCGCGAGTTGCAGCTAAATTYCAAGCATGTTCGAAACTTAGGSGATTGTCGCGCGACAATCGCGCTTYAAAAATCGCAAGTGTAAACAGGCCTTTACTGGAATTGTGCATAATTCTTAGCTAATTTTTACCACAACTGTTGAAAATAAAGTCTATTCTAACCTTGGTTCTTCAAGCTCTGCCAACTGATATAGTTTATCAAATGCTCTACACTCYGTTGACATGATAACACCWGGCATRATRCGTTCTTGTTCCAGTGCATAYGCTTGCCGATTGCATCCACTTGCACTTGTGTCATCTGCTCGGATGTCCTGCATCTRCAGTAGACATTTGATAATTGRGATACCTGTGGTATCATTTTAGCCGAGCAGGGGGGTTAGGTTGGGTCACAGTTTATGTCATATAAGGAAGAGATAAAAGCTCGATGTAGGAAGAAGGAGAGAGACTCCAGCACTACAGGAGGTGAAGGAAAAACAATTCTTCAGCAATGAAACAACATTAAATCCTTTTCTACGTATCGTTCAAGAACCARGCGTGTAGCGTCTTTTATGCATATATACATGTGCGTACTAGTGACAAGGAAATATTAAAATTTTCACAAAAATTACTGAAAAATTCACATAAAATTGATCCCTTTTATATGTTCTCAGATGTCTCTCAAAATGCTGGAAATCGCATTTCCAAGAGTAATTATTTCAAAATTTCATGGGGGAAGTCCAGACTCCCTCAATACTCCCGCCTTTGGCGATAGTTAGACCCCCAGATCCAAAAGATGTGTTGCGGTCCCTGACATGTGTGTACTAGCCAAAAAGTCCAAGCTACGCGCCTGAGAACTAAACTACAATGTTCTAAAATGCAATAATAAAACTTGAGACATGGCTTTACTTAAGTGTTTGCTTGTTTTGTGGATCGTTATTCACAATACCAACCTCTATTTCATCTTTATTGGTTACCATGGTGACTGATGACCCTGTTGTCTTCACAAAAATTATCTGTTCATCTTCAAATTCAAGTTGGTACAAGAGTTTTGGATCTTTAGAGGAAAGCAGCTGGAATAGCAAAAAATGTAGTAAATTGTATTAGATATTACCTAGTAGCTTTTATTAAAGCTTTTATACACTTATTTAAAAAAACATTGTTGGGGAGAAASGCGAGCGGTGATTGTCGAGGGAGAATGCACGACCGAAAGGGACTATGGTTACGMTGTTTGACATACAAAAAATTCAGTTGTTTGGTTTACTTTAATGCGTGAAAATGGAAACTAAATGGAGCCGATGATAACCATAGAATATCTTACGGTAAAACCAGTTATTATTTCCCATCCATTAGCAAAACCCATGGCTCCTTTYGGTCGTGCAATCGCCGTTTGACAATTGCCATTAACCATTTTATCTGACAACCTTTTTTGAAATAGGTATATATAGGTTGTAAATACATTGGAAAGGTAATACTCTACCATTTTTTCATTGTTGAAAATTTGTACTTGCTCTGGTGTGACGTTCAATCTACCAGCTATTCGGTGACGCAAGGAACGAAGTGATTCGTTGCTGTGACACTGCAATTATAAATTATATTACATTAGAGTAAACACTTTGAGCTATAAATTATATTACATTAGAGTAAACACTTTGAGCTACTAATAATTAAGTTATATTTTAGATGTATTGCTTCAAGACGCCATGAATGCCAAATACAGTGTGTAATGGTCTGTTGGTTGTGTAACTGTTAGAGTGAAGTCTCTTGAGTGTTGGTAGCATACTTAAGACCTAGGTCATTTGTGGAGGGAGAAAAAAAAGGTAAACAAAGTTCAGAAGAGTTAGGGAGTACATAAAAACGTTAAGAGATACTAAACGATATGCTCCTGCTTAAGATGGACACCTAGAAACCTGTGCTTAGGATCCACAACTTTATAAATCACTTGACGCCCAAAAGGAGAAGCAGCCACAATTTTCAGTGGTTACAAAGTTTATATATTGTTAGCAATATATAATTGGCATTTTATCTCACACAAAACTGTGGATTATACAGTAATGACAATGTGCTTTTTTTTATTAATTACATGTTAGTACCTGAAGTGTAATGTGCTGCTTAGGAACGTCACAGTTTATATTCACTGTTATTGGATGACCATGGAATGATGCACCATGGGGTAGTAGGGTCCTTGGTCCAGCATGAAGATCCTAGAAGGAAATTTCACATTATTATTTGAGAAAGTTTGTACTGATTTCTAAGATGCTTTCAAGTTGTTTTACCTCCACAGTTATAATATAGTGCTCTGCTATCATAAGAAGTCTTTCGATGCTTAGTAAGTTGTTTGTTCTGAAAAATAATTCACCAATTAGTCTTGCATAAGGAAACAAAATGAGGACATTACAATCTCAGAAGCATAAAACGTTAGATGGGATTAGGAACTACAGTATATTATATTTTAACTATTGTATTGTTGAAAATCATCTGAATAGTGTGAATAAACTGAAATTAAATAGCCAATTTGCGAATTTCGCTCCAGTCGTCAAACACAAAAAAATCAAGAAGAGGCAATCGTCAAGAATTATTGTCTTTTCACGAATGACATAGCTTTATGGACGTCGCCTCATCATGATTCCTTTGTGCGTGACTACTGAGGCAAAATTCAAAAGTTGGCTATTGCCACACACAGAAGTTTGAATTTCAAAGACGAACATTCTTGTGCAGAACATGTTATTTACATTCATAAAGTACCATAATACAACACCACTATTAATTTTCAAGATAAAAAAAATATTTCAGCTGAAGAAACCACAGTACGTGTCAATATTTTAGTTGCCGAACTAGCTCCCACCTCCAAGGCAGCATTACAATACCTATATTCCTAGGCAGACAAGGAAAGAAACCAACCTGATAGCTGAAGGTGACAATATTGCTTCATGAGTAATAGGGACAGTTGCTGCTACTGTAGCGCTAGTGGCAGCATGTGACACTGAATGGTGACCAAGTACAGACATGATATGCTAATAATACAATGATTACATTTAGAAAAACCTGGTAGAAAAAATATCCAATGCCTTTTGCTTGTAATCGCACATACCTCAAGGCGCTTGTAGCATTCAAGAATGAATTTCTTGTGGATATTTAGAGAATCCTGCAAGTAAGACAAATCAAGTCAAGCTGTTAGACAAATTTTTAAACATTTTGACTACAGTCCCACATGCGTCTCCTTCACGGCTCCCTGCGCCATCTTGAAAGGTAGCTGTGCCTTTGCATTGAAGCAAGACAACCGTTGAGCGTGCAATGATAGAAACCTGTGAATTATTGTCTGTAGGTGTGAAAAAAGGTTTCTATCATTGCACACTCGTCTCACTTCAATGCTACCTTTCAAGATGCTGCCTTTGCGATGGCGCAGGGAAGCATGAAGAAGACTGTTACGGTAAACATTACCTTTTTGAGTTTTGGAGACAGCCAAGTATAGCTTAATTTAAGGAGCAGCCTAATAGCCAACATTGCTATTTCTTCAGATGGGACTTCAAGGACAATTCTCCACAGGTAATCCAAACCAGTTAAGTCCATTTTCTCTATGGTATATGTACATGTATTGGCTATCTTCTTCATTTTGTGCTCATTATGATTGACATTCTCGAAAAAAGTCTTGAAACACTGGAAACCTAATGTACAAGTTTTGCGTTATAAGAACTGGAAATGTGGTAATGGTACTTTTTAGACAGCATAAAGTAGTCAAATGTTTACATGCTATTGAATTATTACTCGCGGTTCCAAAGGAACCTAGAGTTGAAATTTTGGCTATCTTTTTCGTCATGGTCGTCACCATGATGTTACTTCACGTTACTTCAAAGCATAGTTAATAAAGGGAATGGTTTGGAAACCTTTTGTTGTACTTCTTTTGTACATCTTTTGTATGTATTTTGAGGTTGAATCAGTCAAGACCGTGCACAACTTTTTTCTTACGGACGATGGAAATTGCAAAATGACTAAACACAAACACCCTCTATGAGATTATAAAATGAAATATTGCGATATTGGTTAGAAATCATTATGCATTTTGAAGAAATAGTCAAAAGAATATTTTTCGCTCTGTTCATTCAGATGTGACCAGTATGGCTAAAACAATAGTTAAACAAAAGATTGTGCACAGTCACGTTGGAAAAAAGTGCACAAAAACCTACAACAAAAGGCTTCCTAACCATTTCCCTCTAMAAACTATGTTCAAAGGGTGTTTTAAAATCTAAGATGTGCATGAATTTCTTCTGTCAGTRTTATTTCACTTACCTTTCATTGTAAGTTTTCCAGGATCAAGTTTCAGGATTTTTCCATTGAAAATTTGTGCTTGAGTATCTGGTTCTAAGTCACACAGCCCTCTATTGAACCAGTCAAAAGCAGTCTACAAGAAAGATTGAACATTGACAATTTTTAACTTTAATTGYTTTTTATTGAAGTCGTTAACCGTATAGAGCTTCACATGTTGATTGAACAACCAACAATGCATTGACCTTAAAATAAATACAGTATCCTGTGACTCTATCAAAAGGTTTCTGATTAAATAACTGTGTTATACAGTATTACTATCAATACCTCTTTGTCAAATTCACAGCTGTCACTATTAGCAACAAGCACATCCCAAATATCCCTAGTCCTACTCCACGGCAAATACAGGTCTGCTTCTTGCAGAACAAAGGCAAGGAATTTAAGATGAATATAGACACAATCGGCATGGCTATAGCGCCCATCAACAAGYGTCTCTTCTTCTAATCCATTAGGTCCTGCAGCAGATAATGAGAGCTGATGGCAATGGACTAGACTGTKTGTTGTTAGTTTGATGAGGTCGTAAGCTTTGTTCAACTCAGGAAGAATGCCCTAGAGAGATATAAAAAAATGTTTAGGGGAAAAAAATTATTATTTCAGAATGAATTTTGATTTTAAGCTT